AATTACGCTTAATTCATGAATATATATATATCAAGATTAATTATTTGATGTGAAATTAACAATTAATTGACATAGACAAGTGCTGCAGGTACGATGATAAAGCATTGCCTGGCGTGGATATCTTTGTATGCACAGCAGATCCAGTGATAGAACCGCCAACAATGGTGATCAACACAGTGCTATCGATGATGGCATATGATTACCCACCTGACAAACTAGGTGTGTATCTGTCAGATGATGGTGGATCGGATTTAATATTCTATGCACTGTTAGAGGCAGCGCACTTCTCCAAAGAATGGCTGCCATTTTGTAGGAAGTTCAAAGTGGAGCCAAGATCACCGGAGGCATACTTTCGGACTGCCGCCACCAATCCACCATCGCATGATTCTTTCATGACCAAGGAGTGGTTGATGATCAAGGTACGTACGTAATTAATTGACCACTCAAAATCAAATTAAATATATTCTTCACTCACTAGCTGGTTCCACAATTAATTTGTAGTTAATTAATTTAATTTAATTTTTTTAATTTTAAATTATATAATATTAAGAAATAACTCTCTTATCTTCTTATATATTTGTATTTATTTTATTATTCTTATTCACATAGCAAATAATTCAAACTCCAAATTTTTTATTTTTAATTAAAAAATTACTATTAAATTATTTAGATCAATATTAATTAATTAATTTTATTTAGCAAAAGCAAATTAAATTAAATTTGGGAGCTAGGGACCATCTGCAAGTGGAAGCAGGAGAATTAATTCTCCAACCACAAAAGTCTTTTGCTGCAAATTGTTAAGTACTCACCATCACAGGTCTCATGTAGAGCAGTTTTCTGCAAGTCTATATCATTTCCAATTTTCCATCCAAGCAAGCAGCGCAGCCACTGGTAATAAGATTGGCGTCAAAAAACTATTCCTCTGACCTTTATTGATAATACGAGAATAGACCCTTGATATTTACTAATGAAGACTATTCTTTCTTAAAATAAATAAATAAATAAATAATATTAGAATAGAATGGTCATTCAAAAAAAAAAAAAAATGAACATGCTATCATCCGAAAAGGCCAAAATTTTTTGCTTCAATATATTTTATATTACTCATCACTAGGAGTGGGCAAATATCAGTTTTGATATTAATCAAAATTGATATTTGACTAACCAAAAGTTTTTTTTTGATAGAATTTTTAAGGTCAAAACCAAAATCGATATATATATATATGATTTTATAGTTTGGTTATCCAAATTTTTTAGTTATAATAAATTTGATTTCGATTTTAATCAATAATTATCAAATAGAAAAATAAGATTAAATAAATAAATATGACCAAAATATGATTTTTTAATTTTATTTTTAACTTTTAAATATATTTTAAATTTAGATATTAAATTATAACAAAATTTATAGGGATGATGTTGAAAATTGAGATTGAATAGGATGATTTTATAGAAAAATAATTTAAACATAATATTTTTGTATTATCTCTTAGTACAAATCTTTTGTATTATTTAAATAATTGATTATTTTTATTCATTTAGAATTTATAATATTAAATGCATCTAATGATTTAATAATCCCTAAAAGTTATATAAAAAAATTATACAAATTTTTTTTTATATTACTGCTTATTTTTATATTTATTTAGAATATTCAAATAATTATTATTTATTTA